ACGTCATTGTGCTGGCCCCCCATGCAGCCGTCGTTAATGGCGACCGCTTCACACTTCGCAGCCCCCAGGGATGGCAGGGTCGAATATGAGTCTGCGTACGTCATCAGTGCGCTGGCTACCTCTGCAGCCTTCGGAAGATGTGAGCTGTTCACACCTCGCAGCCCTCCAGTGATAGTGAGGCCTACAATGAGTCTGCGTAAGACGTCACTGTGCTGGTCCCACAGCAGCCATCTAGAGTGGCGGCAGTTTCACACCGCGCAGCCCCCAGGGATGGCGAGTCTGAATCTGCGTCTCGGAGTCCCGCAATGCTCCTCAAAACTCTTGAAAATGAGCCAGCTTTGCATGGACTCATCACGATTGCCTATTCAGAATTGCCAAAGATCTCCAGGATTCTGGTGGGTTCTTGGGCTCGCACGATTTTTCAAGGCTCGCCAAGATCCGCCACCGTGCTTTCAGCACGTAGCGGAGTGCCCCAAAGCACAAGCAGCCCTGAAAGGTAGAGAGGTTGAGTTGCAGCCCTGAGAGGTGGAGGGGAGCTCCCAGGAGCCTCTGGGAGCTCCTGGGAGCTGCCGGCGACCTTCGAGAGTGTCTATAACAAAAGCCTCAGATGGCCACGGAAATCTCTGGAGCGGCCCAAGACAGCTTCAAGCAGCCCACTGTGGACCGAAGACGGCCCAAAGGGCCCACAAGATGCCCCAACAAGGCCTGCAGAGCGCCCCCAAGACGGCCTCAAAAGCAACAAACAGTCTGGTATTCGTTGGAAAACGTGTACTTTCAGCCTCAGGTTCTAGGGCGTCCACAACGTCCAAGACGGCTTAGAAGGCCCCACACATCTTCCCAAGACAACCCACAATGCCCCTAAAAAGGTCCCAAGACGGCTCAAGAGAGCTTCAAAATAGCCCAAGAGGCGCCCAAGATAGCTCAAGAGGTTTCAAGAGGGGGCCACAATGGAGAACCCGCACAAATGTTTCGAGCCCTCCGCCCAAGAAAGACCCCCGAGACAGTGAGCAGGTCGCCAAGAACCCCCACGAGGCTCCCAGAGGCTCCCCCAAAAGGCCCCCAAACGGCCCCCAAGAGGCTCCCAAAGGCGCCACCGCTGCCTCCAAGAGGCTTGCCACGAGCCGCGAATGCCACTAGAGCGGATACAGTGGAGGCCAGACCACAAGAAACCATCCACAAGAAACCCAACCCTGAGACCCCAGGACGTCCATGGATTTTTGGTGGGGGAACGTCGGGATCTCCGCAGCAAAAGCATCGAAACGCAAGGAACCCATGGCACCCTGGATGCAAGCAGGGCGTTTCTTGGCATGGGCCTTCAGTGTGACATTAAGGGATCGGCGGTTGTGGCGCAAGCCTGTGGAATAAAAACTATATAATAATAAGCCGCTGTAACGTCAGGCGGCGCGACTCAGCGGATGCGCTCGGTGTGCGCGTAGCAGAAGGGGCTCTCGTGGGCGGCGCACATGGCGAACAGGCCGCTCTGGAGCACCAGGTCGTCCAGGCCGACGAATTGGGGACAGTCCTCCCTCACCCTGTCGTCGAAGGGCTCCACCCAGTTGCAGTACGTGGACCTGCCGTATGACTCGGAGCCCTTGGGGCAAGGCAGATCGTAGTACAGCGGATCCCTCGCGCGCATGTCGCTGTGGATTCCGTCGCACTGGAGCCCCCTGTACCGGTTCGTCAGCTGCCAGCGCTTCGTCATCGGAATCTCGACAGCACCTCCTGCCAAGAACGCTTTCTCGCTCTTGTACTGGTTTGAGCCAATCTCGCCGCGCGCCTTCCTCCTAGCGATTGCGGTGTACGTGATGGGAATGCCAGAACGCGAGTCGGTACCCATGTCCTTGGATGTCGTCGCAGCCATCAACACGTCGTCAATAAAGGTCGGTGAATCCCACACCATCTTGACTCCCAACGAGTGGAGTCTGTCGATCGTGTTGCTCAGGACACCTTGTCTGCCAGTTGCCGAGATAAAGTTTGAGCCTATCCAAACTACTACAGTGTCACCCTCGTGTGGATTGACTCCGAGCAGCTTGATCTCGTTCTGGATATCTTGGAGGGGGATCTCCCAATCGAGCCAGGCATCCCAGAAGATGAAGGACGCGATGCCCTCTTCCCTGCACCCTTTGGGCAGGTCTCCGTCTGGTGTCTGGTCCGTCTTCGCGTGGAAGCGGCCGTTGCTGGTCTTGACGCGCCTGCCCTCCTGGATCGACGCGAGCAGCTCCTGGTGGTCCCAGGTGGTGTTGTGCCACCAGATCTCGGGGCACCCGTTGAGGCGGTGGAGCGCGTTGCGGAGCGCCATCATCTGAGAGTCGCCGACGAAGATGTGCCTCGTCCTGCTCTGGCGGCCCTCCTGCATGCAGTCCGACTTGAGCAGGGCCTCCTGGGGACCGACCATCTGGAGGGCGTCGTCGGAAAACCCCACCGCCTCGAGCTCCTGGAAGTACGTGCTCGCGTTCCACTTGACGAGCTGCATCATCTTGAACACCGGGATCGGGAAGCCCGTCGCTCCGATGTCCAGGCAGTACGACTCGGAGAAGACGCTCTTCGCGAACTCCCCGGCCTCGGCGACGCCCTCGTAGATGCCGAGCTCCTCGGGCGTTTGGAGCATGCCGGCCCCGTGGCTGCCCACCGCGCGCCCCTCGCGGGCGCCGCGTCCGGAGCGGTCGGCGCCCTCCCGAGAGGCAGCCCGCTGCTCGATGAGAGCGGCCTCCTTCCTGCGGCCGCCACTCATGCCCTGCGACATCTCCCCCCTGTCCATCCTCCGTTTCCTGTCCGCTGTGGACAGTGCAGAAGCTCCAGAAAGCAGCGAAGTCGTCAGCAGGACGCGCAGGAGTGTCGGCATCTCTTCGGGCAAGTCCGCGGCTGGGTTCTCTGGTGGGCGGCTATGGAATTAAAATAGCAAGTTAATTGAAATCGCTCGAATCAAACCCCCTTGAGCCAAAACGGATACGGATACGGAGGAGGAGGAGGAGGAGGAGGAGGAGGAGGAGGAGGGAGGAGGAGGAGGAGGAGGAGGGAGGAGGAGGTGGAGGAGGAGGAGGAGGAGGGAGGAGGAGGTGGAGGAGGAGGAGGAGGAGGGAGGGAGAGGAGGAGGAGGAGGAGGAGGAGGGAGGAGGAGGAGGAGGAGGAGGGAGGAGGAGGAGGAGGAGAAGGAGGGAGGAGGAGGAGGAGGAGGAGGAGGAGGAGGAGGAGGAGGAGGAGGACGGGTCGCATAAGCCCTTCACAGAAGCCCTCCAGGTGCAGGGTGGCACCGAGGGTGCGCGCGACGCGGCGCCGGGCCGGCGCGCCCGGGCAGCGCGTCCCCCTCGGCACGGCCAACTGGAGCTGCGGGCCAGCCTCCGCGCTTGGGAGCTCGCAGCAACGGGGACGAGCACCGCCGACCGCACGGTTGCCTAGGCCACGCTAACGGCGACGTTGCTTAACGGTGGAGTTAGGAACCAAGTTGTCGGAAATCACGAACCACACTTTCCCACATCGCCTATATGCGAATGTATCGAACGAAACCGACACAGAGAACTGCAGGAAAGCGCGAGCCACGCGTTCATACAATACCGAAACCCACATCGCCGTTACCTACATCGCCGTTAGCGCGTCTACTGGGTCAGATCGGGCCTGTCCCCCATGCAGGCGGATTTTGGGCGAAAAGTAAAACATAGATTTTTTTAAATGCCCCAACCTGAGCATTTTAGGGTTGAGGGCTCAGGGTGAAATCCATATGGGCTTTTGCACCTCGAAAATCAATCCGTCTTGTGACTCACTTTTTGCAGATTCAAGCCTCGAGCATCCATCGAAACGGCCTTTCGGGCGCTCCGCCGCGAGCAGCGCGCAGGGTAAGCTCGCGGCCTCACGGCCGGCCGGAGCAGGGCTGGACCTGCACGTTGTTGTCCGTGTTGCTGTCGTTTTGCTGTTCGTTCTGCCCTACCCTCCCTCTCACAAAAATAATGGGGGGGGTCAAACAAGTGTTCGACGGCTCGTTTTGGACCCCCCCCCCCAAGAGCGGCGCAGCTGCGCCCAGATCCAGACCCCCCCAGAAGCATCCTTTGACGTTTCGATCTAGGACCCCCCCCCACAGAGAAGCTTCGTCGCACAGAGTGTTTGGACCCCCCCCCCACTAAAGACGACGACGGCGCCGACGACGGCGCCGACGATGGCGCCAGTACCTGTTTCCCTGTACTTTAGTAGTGGAAGCAATTGGTTTTCAAAATGTTTGGTCTTTAGAAGCTCTGCGTGGCGACGCCCCCGTCGCAACGCGTGCCCTCTGCGTGCCTGCGGGGGCGCCGCCATGTAGAAAGTATGTAGAAGTACTGGAGACCGAGCATCTGGGGCGTCGCTACGCACGCCCTCTGCGTGACTGCCACTATTTCTTAAACCCTAAAACCGATTAAATTCACTAACAAAGTAACTCCCTGCCACCAGGAAGCACAAGACGCGGTCGAGGTCCAGCAACAAAGAAGAAGAGCGCTTCGCTCCAGGCCTGGGCAGGAGCACCCCGAGCAGGCCGTGCGGGGCCCGACGGTCGCTCGCGAGCTCGGAGGGTCTCGGCCGGGCGCCCGCGCTCTCGCGACGCCGCGGCCTCGCCATGACGTCGCACGGCCTCGCGGCTTGGCAGGGTCGGCGCAGGCCCGGCAGGGCGTCCCGCGGCCTCGCGGCTCGCAGGAGGGGCGGAGGGCGGGATCCACGCAGACGTCCGGAGGTGTATGGCCGTGTTCCTGCCAGCGTGCTGCTCGCTTTGACGGCTAGGGCCGTCCGGGAGTGCATGGTCGGCCTCCCTGCGCCGAGCTCGGCATTCTGCTCGTGGCCCGCGGCGCCTCGATCGCACTGGGCCTCTGGGCGCACATGTTTCCAGAGAGTTCTGTATTTCAGCCCCCTTCTTCCACCTCGCGGGGGGGTCGATCACTGCCCCTCATTGATATACACCCCCCTCCCCATTCGATTGGCCGCCAACCAGTAATCATGAGCCCCCGCATCCCTGTCCAAACAATACAACTAGTACGTGGCGGGAAGATCTGGAAAATAAGCGGGATCCCCGCGAGCACGGTGCAATGATTCTTCACAAGAGTGGCGGAAGGCAATCATATTTGCCCGCTGTGCGCTGCCGCACGATCCCTGTAACAAAAGAAAGACTCACTGCGGCCGCATGCGCCACACACAATACTGACCACTCGGCCGCCAATTTAGAATTGGTTTTGATGGCCAGGGGGTCGACGTATCAGCCGAGGTGTGCTGCAACGTGCACTGGCGCACTTGACGCACTTTGTGCGCGTCACACTTGGCGCGTCCAGAGCAGGTGGCGCACTTGGCGCACGTAGAGCAAGTGACGCATCTGGCGCATCTGGCGCGCCTGGCTGAGGCCCTGGGGCACCTGGCACGCGCGGCGCACCACGCAAGCGTCGCACAGCTAGCTTCTGTATTGGTCCATCCAGTGGCCACCTCTGCGTAAGCTGCGTCTCGATTGCTGATTGCATGGTGGGAGGGCGGACGAAAGTGAGCGGGACAGCTTGTGGCGCTCCCGTTGGGAACTCGATCGCTGCTCCTCATAAGTGCACACGTCCCCCCCCGTCCGACCAGCGACAACCCCGGGGCACTGCACCCCCTCCCGCCATCCCTGTCAAAAACTATGCAACACACACGCTGCGGCGGCAGAATCTTGGGTCACACGCGGGCCCCCCGCGACCACTCTGCAGCGGCTTTCGACAGCGGCGGCGGGGCTGCTGGCAACATTGGCCTGCCGTGCGCAGGCCCGCCCATAAGAGATGGCCACTCACCGCCGCGATGGCGCGTTGGCCTCCGACCAGAATGGTGGGAGGAGGAGGAGGAGGAGGAGGAGGAGGAGGAGGAGGAGGAGGAGGAGGAGGAGGAGGAGGGGGAGGAGGAGGAGGAGGAGGAGGAGGGGGAGGAGGAGGGGAGGAGGAGGAGGAGGAGGAGGAGGAGGAGGCGGAGGAGGAGGAGGAGCAGGGGCCGACGTGCTTCCCGATGGTGCGCGGGCGCGCCTGGCACACCTCTGCGTGCGCCCCGCGGGCGGGGGTCGTGCGGCGCGCGCCTGGCGCACCCGGGGAGCACGTGGAGCGTAGCCGACGCGCCAGGGCGTGCCTGGCACGCCTGGGCCCCAGGGGCGCCTTGGCCCGCCTGGGGCGCATGCCGCGCCTGGCACGCGTGGCGCACCTCGCCCCAGCGCCACGCACCTGGGCTGGCCATCGCTCGGAGGTCCATTGCCCGTGTTTTTTTTCGGTTTCGTGCGTGGTTGTTTGGCCAAATGATCAAGGATGCTCCTCGATGGTCTTCGCCGAGAGAAAAATGCACACGTCCGAGCGATGCCAAGCGGGGTCTGTATTGGTTCCCAGCAGCTGCCCATCAACAGACTACCGCGGAATATGCTGAGCCTCGGGTGCTACTTCTGTGTTGGGAGGGCGGGTGGGACCCAAACAGTTTGCGCCTGGGAGGGGTGTCTTGACACCTCCCCCTACGCCCTCCCTTGAGATCTTGGTGGTAATGGTAATGGGGGGCCCGGGACGTTGGAGTCCTTGCAGCCCAAGACGGCTCCAATACGCCCTCAGACAGCCCAAGATGGCATCCACCATTGCACAAGAGAAAACAAAATCGAAAATGCCTCCAGCATGCTTCCAAGAGACCCGAGAATGCCCCCAAATGGTCGCTGAACCTCGCTAGGATATCCCCGAGATGCCAGCATCATTCACACGCATGTAGATGTTCTGCGATGTTGGCCGCCTCACCGTTTCGCTCGAGATGGGCTTCTGATGCTGTGGTTCCAATGTCGCCCACGCGAGCCCCAAGAGGGGGCCAGAAGGGCGCCAGGACGGCAACAAGAGCGCCCAAGACCGCCCCTAAAGCGTCCTGAGAGGGCCCCCGCCTATCACTTGGCGAGTTCCAGAAGCCCTGAACCTCAAAACTGGTGCCATCTCCTGGGGGGCGCATTCCTTGCGGTCCTCTTGGGTCGCACTTCCACCTGCTGCGACAGGCCCTGGAACCTTCGTGAAGGGCGAGCCGGAAGCCTACCGCACTCGCGGCTCCATCGGATCCGTAATCCATGTGAGAGCCCACGGAGACGCGTCGCTGCCGCCGACCTGCCGCCGGCTTCCGCCAGCGGAGGCGGCCTCGTCTTTCTCGTCTGCCGCCTTGCACCGAGGAGGAGATGGCAGGCTTTCTCCCCAGCCACATCTGTAAAGGGGCCCCAGGGCACACAAATAAATACACACCACCATAAAAAGATTCCCCATATTTTCCTATGTTTTCTGGGTTTCTGTCTTCGCCCCCACTTCCCATATCTTCCCATATTTTCCTGGGAATCGACGATTAATTGTGTCTGTGTGTTTTTTCCCCTCCTGAGAGGAGATGGCAGCCTTTCTCCCCAGCCACATCTGTAAGCACGGTGTTCGCTCGCGCGCGTGCCGTTCGCATACAGTCATCGGCCTGACCTAAGGAACGATAAATAAGCAACGAAGCCCCTTTCTTCCAAGGAATAACGCATAGGGAATAATACATAACGCATAGGGAGCGATACATAACGCATGCAAGCCTAAGGAACGACCGAGCCCCTTTTGAAAAGTAAGCGTTCCTTATTCAAGCCGCTCACTGTAACGAGCCAAACGAAAAGGGATGACAACTCCCTGGATCCTCGCAGGCGAAGCCCTCTCTGGAACGCCTCCGTTGCCCGGCCCGCGATGGGAATACAGTCGGGGGCTTGACCTAAGGAACCCTAAATAAGGAACGAGGCCCCCTTTTTCCATGAGTTACACTTCGACTTCCCATCGAAAACACAAGGAAAGCCTGAGGCAAGCTGCGAAACACTTAAGGAAAGCGGAGCCCCTCCCCAACGAAAAGGGTTCCTTCTTCAGGGCCCGACTGTAAGAAAATTGGCGCCGCCCTCGCTGTTGATCGGCGTCGGCCGAGAGTGCCCCAAGAGGGGCCGAAAGGCCTCCAAGAGGGCCCTGAAGAGGGCACCAGGAGGTCCCTGAAGACATCCAAAATAGCCCCCAGGTGTCAACATGAGCTTCGAAGAGGCGCCCATCTCCACACATCCGCGAAGGCATTTATGGTTGACTCTTGGCTTTGCTCAGGCTGATCCCGAGATTCGGTGTGACGGCTCGCCCCAGTCTTTGCTCCGCTGCTTGCTCCTACACTTCGCTGAGTCCTGGCGTCAAGCTGCATTCTCTTGTTAAGGGTGGCCCTGCGACGCTCATGGGGCCACTCTGTGAGTGTAAGCAATTCACGCATCTTGGATGTGGAAGGACCCACAGCGACTGCTTGTTCCTACTTCTGCTGAACACTTAGTAGCGGCACTAAGCAAATACCTGCGGACGTAATACGATTCCAATTCCCAATCCCACTCCCCGTACCTTGTCCTCCTCCTGTCCTTACGACCCTCCGCCGCCTCCTCCTCCTCCTCCTCCTCCTTCTCCTCCTCCTCTTCCCCAATCAGGTATTGTCCCTGTTGTGTGCTCCCATTCTTTTGTCAACATCCATTGATTCGGCAAGTTTACAATGTGGGCTGGCACTGCATTGCAACGCGATTGTAGGTCTTCTGGAGAAAGATCAACGGAAGAAAGCGATCTGGGCAGGAGTCAATCAGGTGAAAGGAGCTATCAGAAGAGAGCTAGGGTTGGCAGATGTGGGCAGTAAGCCTGGCAAGCAAGCACGAGGGAACCACACCTGGAGGGGGGGACGTGGAGAGGGAGGCCAGAGGAGAGAGAGAGGAGGAAGGACGAGGAGTAGGACAAGTTGAGGACGGCAGGGGTACGAGGGGAGGGGACCGAGGACAACGGGCGAAGAATGCAAAAAAAGCGGGGCCGCCCTGATGGTGTTGATGTCGGGGTGGACGAGGAACCGCGCCCACTCGGGGGCGCAGTAGCACGGCGTGAACGACAGGGAGAAGTCGTCGACCTGCGGCCCGCAGCGACGGCGCGCGCGCGCCGGGCTCATGGTGTCTGTGTGTTTTTTCTCCCCTCCTGCTACGTCTCGTCCTACGTCTTTGACGGGGCCCTGGGACATGCAAATAAATACACACCAGTGACAGGATTCCCCATATTTCCCCATCTCTTCTGGGTTTTCTTGCCTCCCTCCCCCCACTTCCCATATTTTCCCATGCTTCCTAGGGAATCGACGATTCATGGTGTCTGTGCGTGTGTCTTCTCCCCTCCTGCTACGCCTCGTCCTGGGAGCACTGGGGGGGGGCGCCCCCGCGGGCCGCGCCACCGGCGAGCCTCTCTCTCTCTCCCCGGCGCCCCGGGGCCGCTCCCGTGGCGGCGCGCGTGACGCGGGCTCCCTGCACCGGCCCCGCCGGGGGGGGGCCCAGAAATTGACGCCACCACCCCCCTCCTCCTCCTCCTCCTCCTCCTCCGCCTCCTCCTCCTCCTCCTCCTCCTCCTTCTCCTCCTCCTCCTCCGCCTCCTCCTCCTCCTCCTCCTCCTCCTCCTCCAGTGGATGGACAATAGGTTCGAACCCTCACCCATTCGAGGGAGGTTCTAGATCCCCCCCGCGCCCCCGACATCAGTGCTGATCTCAGCAGAGGCGGTGCTCTGGGGTTCGAATACTTCTGTCCACTCGCGCCCCCCCCGTCGCCACGCCATCAATATTGATTTCGGGGGGTCTGGGGGGCATCTTGGGCCACAAGGTTCGAATGTAATGTCCATGTACGGTCCCTCCCCTCACTCTCGCTGGAAAGAGGAGAGGGAGGAATTGACGTGGTGATGGTGCATATTCTTTGGGCCCCCCAGACGTGTTGCAGCGGACTTCAGCGCGGATTTCTGCGTGGAGTTCTGCCCGAAGCGGCGAGCGAAAAACGAAGCTAACTTCGCGTGGATTATTTTTGGTCTTCACTCCTGGCCGAACAAAAGATCCGCACGGAATTCACCTCGAAATCCGGAACGAAATTCTCCAGGACAATCCGGGCCCATCCCATCGTTTTCCGAACGAAATCCGCTCTGCGATGTTGGCGCCATGACCAGGGGGCAGGGGGAGGGGGGAAGGCTTCCTAGGAGGAGGCTGCTTCTTAGAAGGCGCCAGCTCTATACACCTACAGAGAAGGCCCGCGCCCCTTTTAAGAAGCAGGGGCGCTTTTGAGAAGCCTTCGCCCCTCCCCCTGCCCCCTCTGCGCGTGGCCGAGTCTCGGTGGAACGGGGCGCAACGCACGATGAAGCCAGGGCGAGGGCAACACCGGGCGAGCGTAGGAGGATGTCTCGGGCGGCGCGGCCTGCTCAGAGCGCCCCCGTACGCTCTGAGAGCGTTGCGGGGCTCTCTGGGAAAGATCTGCCCTCGCCCCAGCCACGTCCGAGAGCCACCTTCGGTGAGATGGGGCGGAACGTCAGGAGCAACCGACGTCGCATCGGGAGATCGGATCGCAGCGGAGCGTGCACCGAATCGGGCCGCATCGGCACCGAATCGACATCGAAATCGAAGCGGGTCGGCTGCGCCGGGATGCAAAGCAGCGCCCTGCAGGCATCGGGCCGCATCGGCTCGCCCGAAACCTGAGCATTTTCTCAGGGTGGAGGGCTCAGGGTGAAATCCATATGGGCACCTGCACCTCGAAAACCAGTTCGTCTTGTGATTCACCCTGTGCAGATTCAAGCCTCGAAAATCCATCGAAACGGCATTTCAGAGTTCACCCTTTGCCCTCCACCCAAAGAAAACGCTCGGGGAAACCGGAATCGAATCGAATCGGGCCGGCCGGAGTCGACATCGAGCTGGATCGATCGGATCCAAAGGGACCCTGAACGTTGTCCGGCTGCCGATCGTTGGCCCTCGAAGATCTCCTGCGCCTCTTCCGCCGGAACCGATCTCGAGCCGCATCGCCCGGGTCCCCAGTGCACCCCGAGCGCTGGCCCGCTGTCGCCTCGGCCCTCGAAGATATCTCCTGCGCCTCTCCCGCTGGCACCGATCCCTCGAGCCGCACCGCCCGGATCCCAAGTGGACCCCGAGAGCGCTGTCCGGCTGTCGCCTTGGCCCTCGAAGTTGAGCCGGGACCGACCGTCCCGGCATTCCTGTAGTCACACCACGAAGCGTTCTAAGAACCCCAAAATGTTCGAATAACAAAGCAATGTTTTTAGAACATGAACCCGATGGGTTCAAACAAAACGATCTAAAGCAGACATGTTCTAAGAACATTTCGTGGAAACCACAAAATTGGGCGCCCGAGTTATCCGGGGCAACTCGGGTCCGGGGTAACTCGGGTTTGGGTTCCCGAAAAAACGAACCCGAGTTATCCCTGACCCGAGTTACCCCTGATGATTCGGGGCTCTGGACGCCCGAGTTATCCGGGGTAACTCGGGTCCGGGGTAACTCGGGTTCGGATTCCCGAAAAACGAACCCGAGTTAACCCTGACCCGAGTTACCCCTGATGATTCGGGGCTCTGACAAAAGGTTCTCAGAACATTGCTTGGTAGGGCTATAGGCGAGCCAACACGCTTCGCCACTGCTTGACGCAGGGCTCTTCTGCGTGTTCTCTCCGCGCGCCGCCACGGCCGCCCCACCGCGGCCGCGGAGAGGTCCTCCGGGCAGAGGGCCCGTGCTCTTTCGCCGCAGGGCGTGCGGGCCGCCGCGTGCGGGGGCCTCCCCCGCGCCGGCGCCCCGCCAGCCGGGCTGCTGGGATCCCCCCCCCCCCTCGGCTCCTCCTACAGGGCAGTTTTTCATACATGGGATCTTTTTTTTTTTAAAAAAAAAGACTTTAATACATGATTCATGTATGAATAAACTTATGCATGAACTCATCGTTGTTTTTAATACTAAATCCCTGCACGTTTAATACACGATCCGCACGCGAAGCACGTATCAAAAACGGCACTGTACCGGGGGGGCCCGGGCCGCAAGAGACCCGTCCACAGGAGACCCAACCCAGGCTGGATCTCGCATGGGCCCACGGGATGGCGACACGCGCGGACCTGACAACACCATGGGAGGGCGCTGTCTGGTCTGGGCTTCCGACGGGCCTCACCCTGCTGGAGCCCCCAGGAGCTCAAGAGAAGTCCTGGCAGTCGCCCGAGAAGCAGCACCCAGGAAGACGAGGTGGGAGGCAGGTGGGAAGCGGGTAATGTAGGAGCTCGACCACAAAGAACCTTCCACAAAAAGCCCAACCCCGAGACCCCAGGACGTCCGTCGATCTTCGGTGCGGGAGCGTCACGCCTTCCGTGGCAGGGCCATCGAGACCCAAGAGACCCTTGGCACCCTGGAGGCAAGTAAAGGGGTTCCTGGCACGGGTCTCCCCTGCAGGGGGGTGAAGAACGGTGTCAAACAAACGTGTCCACCGTCGGGGAAGTCTGACCCAGGGCGGCAGGAACACGTGTGGACTTGCTGTGGCGCGTCGTGGTAGAAACTTTCCAACCGCCCTGGGTCAGGAACCCCCAAAGGCGGAAACTATGATTTTATACCGTTCTCCACCCGCTGATGCTCACTTCAGCTTCTTCTTCGGGCGCAGGTAGTTGGTGTGGCCGCACTTCTTCTTGCGGCAGTTCACGGCGCGCGCTGGCAGGCGCGCGTAGCACTTCCGGCAAATCATCTTGTCGCAGTTGTACTTGCGCGCCAGCACCGCCAGCGACGGCTCAATCACCCCACCGCGCAGGCGCAGGACCAGATGGAGCGTGGACTCCTTTTGGATGTTGTAGTCGCTGAGCGTGCGGCCGTCTTCCAGCTGCTTGCCGGCGAAGATGAGGCGTTGCTGGTCGGGGGGAATGCCCTCCTTGTCCTGGATCTTGGCTTTCACGTTGTCGATCGTATCCGAAGCTTCAACGTCGAGCGTGATGGTTTTGCCCGTCAGCGTCTTCACGAAGATCTGCATCACGACTCTTCTGCCCCGCCGCGAAAGGGCCCCTGCAGGACGGCGGCGAAGCCGCGGCTGGTGTCACCGGGAGCCAGGGTGGCTTGGTCATGAGCCAAAACGGATACAGATAATGTTGGCTGTCGATGGGGTTTGGGGAAGCGTATTCGGGGCTGTGACGGGGGGCCTCTTGGAGTGTCTTGGAGCCTTTTGGAGGCACGCTGGGTTCCAACTGGCCTTCCAGAAGAAGGCGAAGTCAAATTTGGATCTCCACGGGGACGCACCAGGCTGGATCTGGCATGGGCCGACGGGATGGCGACACGCGCGGACTTGACAACACCATGGGAGGGCGATGTCTGCTTTGGGCCCCCGACGGGCCGCACCCTGCTGAACCCCCCAGGAGCTCAAGACAAGTCCTGACAATCGCCCGAGAAGCAGCACCCAGGAAAACGAGGTGGGAGGCAGGTGGAAGCGGGTAAAGTAGGAGCTCGACCACAAGGAACCTTCCACAAAAAGCCCAACCCTGAGACCCCAGGGCGTTAATTTTTCTGGCGTGGGAACACGCTTTCCATCGCAAGACAATCGAAACCCAAAAAAGCCAGGCACCCTGGAGGCAAACAGGGTGTTTCTAAGAGTGGGTTCCAATGTTGGAGGCAAAAAGGCAGAGATGAGAGGCGGCGGGGTGAAAAGAACTGTTCTGACGTACTTTGTCCAACGCGAACATGTAACCAGAGGGGAGCTTTGAACGCGTAGCACGGCACGCGCCCAACCCATCTGCAACGCGCGGCAACATCGACAAACGACCCATGATGAACTACGAAGAAACATGCTCGCCCATGCAAGTATTGCATGGGGAACGTTGCATGTCCAAGGGTGCCAACACGAAGGGACACCGACGAACTATAAATGAATGGGGGAGAAAAAAACACGACGCACATGAGGACACGGATAGGAACCATGGCGTTTATAGGAGGGGCATGGGCAACGACATGACGGAAGAGACAAAGGACAGCGCGGGACAAAAGGGGGCGGCGAGGAGGGCGATAAGTAATGACGCGCGGTCGGTGACGACGGAACAGAGTTTGCAATGGCACCCGTGTGCGGCCGATCCCACGGCGGGGGTTATAGCCAACCTTGTGGCCTCAACCCTGCACCGCTCGGAGAGCGCACTAGGAATCCGCGGCCGCGCGCTCGGCGCGCAGAGAGGCATGGCAACGCGCCCGCCAGCGCGTTGGAAGATCCCTCGCTCAATCGCACAAGGAACTGGCCAGGCCGAGCGGGTGCGCCAGCATCTCGGCCTCCGCAGCGCACCGTTCAGCACGAGCGGCGCGCCGCCAGGAGAGCAAGCGTCTTTCTGCGGGTGGCCCCCGGGAGAGTAACGACCCAAACCCAGGTAGCGGATCGCGAGAAGGTCGTCCGACGACATCGCCATGAACACCATGTCGTCCTCCTCCTCCTCCTCCTCCTGCTCCTCTTCCTTGGCCCCCGCCCCCCCGCCCCCCGTCGGCGACCTCGATGTCGCGGCGGCAGGCAGCGCCGCCGCGGAAGCGGCGCTCCGCCGACGGGGGCACGGGGGGGCACGGCGCGCTTTTCCCCACGATGGAAGACACAAGATGCCGCCTATCCCACTTGCGCGAAGGAAAATGCTGCCGCAGCCATGCTGTAGTAACCACTCGGTTGGGGCCAAGTGCCCTGGCACAGTGCTCGCCCCGACGCGTCGAGACGCAGGGCCCAGCTCTTGGGGCTGATGTATAGCTGCTTGCAAGCTTTCTCGACCTGCTGCTCTTCTACAGCGCGACGCTGAGATCAGATCAGTCGCGCCAGTCGGGGCGCGTCTTTGTCATGGTTGTTGAAATGAATGCGCGACTTCCTGGGCTGCATAGATTGCGCCGCGCAGTCATTGGCCCCCGCGGAGAGGGCTCGCAAAGCGCGGGGAAGTGCAGGGAGCTCTGCCGCGAGATCATCTGTTACAGCCGCGGCTGTTGTCAGATATCCCGGACTTCTCGGCGCACTGAGGCGCGTTGTGGAAAGTCCTGCTGTGCCGATGCCCTTGGCATCGTGTAGGAAACTCCCGCGAACGCGGTTGCAATCTGGGCGCGCATGCCAGAACTCTGCGCCGGCTGTTTCAGCCAGGACGACGTCGCCCCTCTTCTGCGCCGCGCGGCCGCCCTGCCTGGCCACGCGGGCTGGGGAATCTGCTGGGCCATGGACCGAATTGACATGAAAGCCCTGCGCCTTGCGGCAGGCTTCGCGGCCCCCCCGTGACCCAGCACAGGACCAAAGGGGCTCGCAGATGCCTGGTCGGCGGCGTCGCGGCTGGAAGGACCTGGCGTGGCGCAGCGCAATTTGTTCCTTTCCCTGGCCAGTCCTGGCCTCTGCAGATTGCGCTCGCGAGTCGGGCCCTCGCGGCTGGCGACAGAGGCGGCAACTGTTGCAGCCGCACTGACTGCGCGCAGCCAAGAATGTTCTGGGCGATACAGCTTCATGTCCCCCCTTGAATTGGCAGCAAATACTTGGACTCGTCGGCGAGCCGCCATGACGACGTTACGAGTTCAGGGTTCCGTAGTCCAGCCGCCGACGCCCGCAGTATCGACGCTGTTGTCGCATCGGAAGAACTGCGTCTCCCGTAAGTGGTTCAAGGTGACGCGCGCGCAGGTTTCGGGCACGCCCATAATCGCCCCGTCGACGAACAACGAATCCAGCATCGAGAGGAATGGGTCGGCCCTTGCTCGCACGGGTGCAGCGTCAGAGTTGCGAGCGTCTGCGGCAGCGACCCAAGAGCGACGCTCTGCGCGGAAGCCTGACAGCGGGCCCCCGATAAGCAGGTGCGAACTGTTCTCGCCGCCTAGCCCTTCCAAAAACGATCGGCGGGCGAGCGTGCCCCGATCTGAGCTGCCCCCTAAGCTTCTTGCGAGGTCGCATTGAAAACTGCGCTCCAAGCTGGCTCTCCCGCGCCAACGACCACGCCCGATTCTTGAAACACTGGGGGGGAGGGGGGGGCGAAGTTTTCAGCGAAGGCGAATTCGTCGCCCACCTGTCACAGCCCCACTGCTTGGCGGAACATGGCGGGCGGGGGCAGGAACTTGGCCAGACTTGTGGGCCTGTTTCCAGATGCCAGCAGGTTGTCCGTTGTCGTGATCTCAGACTCGTCTTTAATAGAATTGTCCAAATGCCCTCGGGCGGAATGCGCCTCGCCTCGCGCAGTCATGGTCAGCTGAGGAAACGTGGCTGCTGCATCCAATGGAACAACAAATGCCACCCCCATCGCTGCGCCATGCCCACGCGCGACGGACGCATTCCTCTTGCACGGAGGCCATGCCATCGCAATCGATGGCACATGGCAACGCCCGCATCCCATTCAAAAACCACGATCTAGGGTCCGCGTGGGCCCTGCTCTTCCAACCAACTTGCCTTCCCACCGCAGACGCTCATGAAGTCCGAAGACGCCGACCGAAACCACGACGATGTGCCAACTTCGACTGGCACGTGCGTTCGAGAGCGTTCGAGACCACCCGCGCTAAAACGAACACGCAACTCCCTCTTCGAGATTCATGTGCGCCACGAGTTTCTCACGACGAGCAAATGTGGACACGAGCAAGTGGGGCCACGACGTCGCGCTTGTTCCCGAAGAGGCCCCCGCCACATCGGAACTGCTGAAGGAACTGGGCGTCTCTGGGAGTGCACGGGCGGCGGCCATTGCGCGGCAATTACTCCGTGTGTCGACCGAGGGGAGCGCTGAAACAGGGAGGCCCTGCTGAATTGTTTTGGTTCGAATCCGTTTGTTCCACCCAACTCCCGCCGTCCCATGTTCCTGGATCATGGCGTGGCGCCCGACAGCACGGCGCTGGACACAACCAGCGCCTTCGCCCACATTGGATTTCCCCCGCTGCCATTGATCGCCGCGCAAAACAGACAAACTGCAAATCCACCCGCGTAGCTTAGCAAAGTGTCCTTATCCAGGTTTGCTGGCTCTGCTGCAACAGACCCCACGTTCCACTGGGACGCTCCTTTCCCAAACAACAGACGAGGACCACGCGCGCTGACATGCGCTGGGCAATTGGGCCCGACGACGTGCCCTTCCGGGACCGACCGCCCCCGCATTCCTATAGGCCTACCACGGCATGTTCGTAGAACCCAAAAATGCGCCAAGAACCTATACAATGTTCTCATCGCATAAACCCGATCTGTTGAAACAAAACAGTTCAGCCAGAACGTTTTAAAACATGTTTTAAAAGACAACAGGAAAACGCAAACCACAACAGGTTCTTAGAACATTCTTTGGTGGGCCTATAGGCGAGCCAGGGCGCTTCGCCACTGCTTGATGCTCAACCTTCTCGACGGCCCTACTGGAGGACGACTTCGCTGTTCCAGCTGCGGCCGGCGGCGAACCTGGCCTGCCAGCCTCGACCTCGCCGCCGCCATCGCCAGAGGATTGCCCAGCGCGGCCACAGAACTGCTCGGAGCAGCCGCCCCATCCGATCCGTCCGCCTCCGACGCGGCCGCTGCTCGCTTCTTCTTCGACGGGGCGGAGGCTGCCTGCGGCGCCTGGACGGTGCCTCCGGCGGCCGCGTGCCGCCCTGGTTGTTCCCCCGCCTCCCCGTTTCCAGGCCTCCCCGAGTGGGCCCAAGTACAGCGAAGGCGCTGAGACAAGGACCGTTGTGTCGCCGTTTCTTCATCAATTGCTTCGCAGATTGGCGCGGACCACATTGGCCTCGGAATCATCCGAGTTCACGTCGGCCTCGGCCTCGGCCTCGCTGGGGGACATCGCCGACGCTGTTGCAGTGTGGGCCTCGCTTCGCCATCGTCAGAACCGCGCGGCTCAGCAACAGAAATGCTCTGGTCAGGAAGAGAGTTCGAGACCTCCTCATCGGCTTCATCATCACACGCCGCCTCTGGCTCGAACTCCGAGGGGGCTTGACTGGAAATAGCGCTTGTCATCGCCGCTGACCTGTGAAGACAAGCCAGCGGCGAGAGGCGTTCGAGCCGATACGGCCGCGAGGGGAAGGAGGAGGAATATAAGACGAAAAAGAATATCAGAAGCGTGCTCGATGGCATTGCGGGGGGATAGGGACGGGATGATGACGACGATGATGTTGATGATGCTGATGATGATGATGATGATGATGATGATGATGGTGATGATGATGTTGCTGAGGATGATGATGTCGATGGTGATGATGATGCTGATGATGATGATGACGATGATGATACTGATGATGATGATGATGATGATGATGATCCTGATGATGATGATGATGATGATGATGGTGATGGTGATGATGATGATGATGGTGATGATGATGATGAATATGATGATGATGCTGATGGTGATGATGATGATGATGATGATGATGACGATGATGATGATGATGATGATGATGGTGATGATGATGATGATGATGATGGAGGTGGTGGTGATCATGGACCATCGTTATCATCGACAACATCATTCCCCTTCTTCGTCATTCTTGTCCTTCAAAACCACTGGTAACAATCACCACAATCGTCAGCAGCAGAATCAGCTTGAAGATAAGCCACCATGAGAACAAAACAAAAAACATCGCATCACAAACAAAAATACGCTGCCGACAGCCAGCTCAGAGTCCTCCTTCAGACCATGTTGGGGGCGAAAGGAGCGCGGATGTCAGAAAGTACGTTCTTTCAGCGGAGCGGTATCCCGCTCACTGCTTCGATGTGTTGGGCAGCCCAGAACCTCGCTACAAAATCGTTTTTGAGGGGGAGATGTTGGGCCTTTCGAGGGTCTCGGGGCAACGCTGGGTGCGATGACTCCACCGAGCTCACTTGGGGCAGCTCGACAAAAATATTATTTCGGAGCGCTCTGGGCAGAAGGCAGCCTGGGGGCTTTTAGGATTAAGTGGGGCCTGTCCTCCTACTGTGGGATTTTCGACGAAAAATGAAAAATATCCAACAAATACCCCCAAAAGGCCCAAAATATACTGAAAAAATAGTCCCCAGACTATTTTTTGTTATTTGTTCACTATTTGTGGTGTATGTTTTATGTTTCGTCGAAAAATCCCCCTGTAGGGGGACACGCCCGACTTACTTTTAGGAGCAGCTCGAGCCATCTCGGGGGGCCACCGCGGGAGCGCTGAAGGGGGCCCTCGGAGACCGCCTTTTCCGGCACGCGGGAGCGGGCTCCTCGGGCCACCCTGGGCAGGGAACTTTGGCGGCGCGCACAAAAGGGGGTGGGGGGAGGGGGAGTGCTTCTTAGAAGCAGGCTGCTTAGAAGGCGCCGGCCTCACATCTATAGATAGGGCCCGCGCCTCCTAAGAAGCAGGGGTGCTTCTAAGAGGCCCTCCCCCCCTCCCCCAACCCCCCTCTGCGCGTGGCCGAGGAGTGCGGCACCGCATATGCCTCGGGAAATGGACGCCTGGGAACCGGGCCGTGGATCTGGCCATCGCTCGCACGTCACTTCCCTGTGCTTTTTTGTTCGGTGTCGTGCGCGGCTTTTTTTCGCAGGACGATCCAGGGTGCTCCTTTAATAGTCCCCGCCGAGAAAGAAATGCACACGTCCGAGCGATACCAGTGATCCATTGGTATCGATCGCGTGTCGCGCTGCGTCGCGACACGCTGTCCATTGGCAGTGGATGGCGTGCCGCGACGCAGCGGGGCGGGCCAGAGCCGGCGGCCCGACACACCCGGCCAAGGCTCCCGGCGGCAGACGCTGGGCCACTTGTGAAGTGTCACTGTCCTCGGCCTCCGCAGCACGGGCCCGAGAGCTGCATGGGTGACCACCTGTGAACCCTACCCCCGCTAGGAAGGCGCCAACTATACACCAACACCGATCCTGGCCCAGGATCGCCCTGGGCCCAGGATCGGTGTATACGCCCTCCTGCCTTGCGCAAAAAGGCATACACACCGATCCTGGGCCCAGGGTGATCCTGGGCCAGGATCGGTGTTGGTGTATAGTTGGTGCCCTCCGACCCGCCCCCCACGAGCTCTGCGGGGGGCGGGGGGGGGGGGTCATTTCGCTGGGGAGCGTCCGAGCGAAGCGAACCCCCAGTCCGCCCTAGAACTCCAGGGAGGGGGGGGGGGGGTAGGGTTGGTAGTGTTCACGTGTGGTCACCGGTGGTTGGCTGCTTTCTCGGGGGCCTGTCGGCAGCCCGTATATGCTGTGTACGAGTCAGGTCTGGGACCGTCGAAGGGCCGCCAGGGGCGCGAGAACAAGTCCGGCACCCCATGGGGGGGGGCAAGATCCTTGGATTAGGTCGGGCATGTCCTCCTACAGGCGGATTGTGGACGAACAATAACAAAATAAAAACATACTCCGATATTATTCAAAAGTAATCCAAAAATCGTCCCCAGACTATGTTTGTACTACTTTTGACTTTTCCTCCTGTAGACGGGCAGGCCCGACTCAATCCTCGGACCCCACGGCCCTGCACCCTGGCTGTGTGCATACCCTCGGATCCTGGCGTTGTCATTTCTGTTCGCACAACGGGCGTTGGCACCCAATCTCGGTGCCCCGGCCCGGGATCCGCACAGATCCCCTCCGGCTCAAAAAAAATGCAGCAGAAAGACGGAGTCTGGGGTGGCTACAGGTGCCCCTGGCCCAGGGTGCCCCCCGCTTTTCGCTCGATTTTGGAGCCCCCTGGGGCCCTCTGGGCCTCGTGATGGGGTGCTCTGGAGGCCGTGGGGGCCTCCTCGGAAATCCTGGGGGTACCTTGGGCTAGGAGCGCGAGGAGCAGGAGGAGGGGGAAGACGGGAGAAGGAAGAGGGGGAGAAGGAGAAGGGGGGGAGGAGGAAGAGTAGGGAGGGTGGGGCAGGGAGAGGAGGAGGAGGAGGAGGAGAGAGGAGGAGAGAGGAGAGGATGAGGAAGAGAGGAGGAGGGGGAGGAGGAGGAGGAGGAGGAAAGGAGGAAGGAGAGAGAGGATGAGAGGAGGAGGGAGGAGGAGGAGGAGCGAGGTAGGAGGATGACGAGTAGGAGCGAGGAGAAGAGGAGGAGCGAGTAGGACGAGAGGAGCGAGGAGGAGCGAGGAGGAGCGAGGAGGAGCGAGGAGGAGCGAGGAGGAGCGAGGAAGAGCGAAGAGGAGGAGGAGGAGGAGGAGGAGGAGGAGGAGGAGGAGGAGGAGCATGAGCGCGACCCATGCTGGAGAAGGGGAGAAAGGAGTGGCAGCACCCAGCAAGCCGTCAGTTCCCGCGCCCGCCCTCGAAGGGCTTGATGGGGACGAGCGAAGCACGGCTGGCAACAGATGAAGGGGCCCCAGGACACACAAATAAATATACACTAATAACAGCATTCCCCATATTTCCCTATATTCTTGGGGTTTCTGTCTTCCCCCCCCACTTCCCATATTTTCCCATAGTTTCTGGGAATCGACGGTGAATTGTGTCTGTGTGTTTTTTTCCCTCCTGATTGATGAGGACGAACGAAGCACGGCTGGCAGCAGAGCAGGGCTCGAGGAGGGCGGGGAGGAGGGCGCCTCTGCAGGCAGCGGCCGGAGGCACGGGAGGCGCGGGGGGCCAAGGCGTCGGCCAAGGGGGCCGTGGGGTCTGCCGGATCGCGAGGTCGGGCGAGGCGGGGAGAATGAAGAGAAGGCGGGGGGATGAGCAGGAGGAAGGCGAGCAGGAGAACGAGGAGGAGGAGGAGGAGGAGGAAGGAGGAGGAGGACGAGGAGGTCTCAACGCCCGCAGCTCTCCGGGCGCGCGGCGGGCCCGAATTCCACAGACACGCGGTCGCCCAGGTCGTCGGATCGTCACAGACTGGTTCCAAGCGAGATCTCACCCAATATGCTGCTTCCCCCTGGTCGCGCCCGCCGCACTCCACACAAGAGCTTGGGGTTAGTGGGCGGCAGACGGAGCACGAGGAGGGGCATTGATGGCGAAGGCGAGGGTGGGGAACGAGGGAGGGAGGAGCGGGAGGGAAGGCGAAGATGGGGATCGGGAGCGGCCAAGAGGGGGGTGTCCAAGGAGGGGGTGCAAATCATGACTGGCGGCATGTGCGCGGCCCAGCTGGGGGGCCAGGGACGTAATGAAATGAGAAGAGGCGCCATGAAATCTGGGGAAATATCATGGCCCCCGCCATGATATCCACCCCCCCCTAGTCATCACCCACCTCTTTTCCGCCCCCGAGGGGAGTGGGAGGGGAGGCGGATTGGGGGAGGAGAAGAGGGGGGCAGGATGCAAGGGATCGGAGCCGGGGAGTGGGACCTGGAGGGGTTGGCCGAGAGACAGAGACGACGAGCACATGGATGTGGCAGCGAGTGAGATGTGAGCAGGCGGCAGAGACCTGGGGTCGGGAGGAGACGAAGAGATCCGCTGCACGAGCAAATCATTGTTCATGTTTACCCCCTCCCCTCCATCTTTTCCTCCACCTCTCGCCACGGACTGCAAAGCAACTGGGCCACTGGCCATGGCAGAAGGCCCACCCAAAGCTCATCCAGAGCAGGCCGAGCGAGGGAGCATGGGCAGCAAAGGGATCTGCTTGGACGGGCATAAGTCAAGGGGCCCAAGGACACACACATAAATGCACACAAATAAAATGGTTCCCCCTATTTTCCTATATTTTCTGGGTTGCGGTCTTCCCCCCCAATTCCCATAGTTTCCCATACTTTCTTGGGGATCGACGATTAATTGTGTCTGTGTGTTTTTCCCTCCTGAACAAGACATGAACCACAACCAGCAGTCCCCAAGCCAAGCCCGCCGACCGTCACAACGGTGCCGCTGTTCATGCAACCGTCAACGTCGATCAGCTTCAGGCAGCCATCGAACATCATCAAATTCTCTGGCTTCAGGTCCAGGTGGACAAATCCCTTGGCGTGGAGAGCGGCCACCGCCAAGACGATTGACTGGAGGCGCGTTGTTTTTTGTGCAATGCATGTCGAATCGCATGCAGGAAACTGCCCCAAAAGGAGCCTTCCACCAGCCGAAAGGACTCGGCGTTCCGATCAGCACCTGCCGACCTGCACCCACGAGGTCAAGGCGACAGAAGCGAGGCACTGAGCGATGCTATCCACACGTCGTGAGTCCCCCTCCGCCCCCTCCTGCCCTGCTCTCGCCTGCTCATCCCTGCCTCCATCCCATCCCTGCCTCCCTCTCCGCCTGCATGACATCCTGCCCCACCTGCCCGAACATACTCAGCAAGGAGGTATCGATGTCACCCAGTATGCTTCAGTTTGTTCGCTCCTAGCAGGGGTGCGCGTCGATGCAAAGTTTTGTGTCACTGCGCGGCAACCCCCAAGAGACCCCTGAGAGGCCATCAAGACCCCTGAGAGGGCCCCAAGAAGCCCCCAGGAGGTCCCAAGAGAGCCCCGAGAGGCCCCAAAGAGGGTTCCTCCTCCTCTTCCTCCACACTTTCCTCCTACGCCTCCTCCTCCTCCTCGTCCTTCTTCTCCTCTGTGCTTCATCTCCTCCTCCTCCTCCTCCTCCCTCCTCCTCCTCCTCCCCCTCCTCCTCCTCCCCCTCCTCCTCCTCCTCCTCCGCCTCCTCACCCGTAGCCATTTTGGCTCAAGACGGAGCTTACCTCCCGTCCCGACTCCAGAGGCTCGAGGCCGAGGTGGAAGGGCAGCCCCTTCCTGAGGCCTGGCTGCCTCGGCCAACTTTCAGGTTCCTTGGTGAACCGCTCTTCTTCGCTTTCCGTGAGTTCCTGTTGGAGCACCTGGCCCGCTCCCACCCTGGGCGCAGTTGGGTGACGGGCTGGATCTATGCACCGTGGACCAAGCAGCTGCCACCTCGGCGAGGTGGCCTTGGCCCGCAAACGAAGCAGGCGTACAGCGTTTGTGCGCTCTGTGGGCACTGGGAGTACGATTTCCATGGACACAAGTGCTGCCCCAAGTGCAAAGGTGAGTACCCCGGCCAGCCGCATAGTGGAGTTCGTGATGTTGGTGACAAGCGCGGCGTGGGCCGCTGGCGCAAGAGCAGAGGGCATGTGCAAGGCCCTTCGCTTGACGACGAACTGGAGAGGCTGGCCACACTTTTCCCTGATCGTGCTGAAGCTCTTCGAGGTGCTCGTGGTCAAGGTCCGCACGCTCCTGGCCCTGAGCCTGTGGCGTCGTCCGACAACGAGCTGGACAGGAAGGTGGCCAAGCAGCGTACCGCCCTTGCCATGGCTGTTGAGCGTGATTCTAAGGCTGCGCGTTTGGCATTACATGAGGTGGAACAACGTCTGGCGGCTGTATTACGCCATAAAGACGCCCTGGCCAAGGCGGAGATGGCGCACGCGGAGGCTGTCCAGAACTTGGAGTGCGCCGCCGCGGCCCACAAAGCCGCCTACGTTGAGTTGGACAATTTTGACCCACTGGAGTTCAGACGACAGGTGGTGGCTGAAGAACAAGCTATACGTGATCTACATGAGCGTGAGTGCCGTGCTGCTGATGCAAAAGGACATGGCGCCCCTGCTGCAGGGGGTCCTCAAGATATGCAAGTTGATGGTGATTCCCCTTCTGCGCGACCTGGGCAAGTTCAACCCCCCGCTAGTGGCCATCCTGCTGCTAGTGAAGTTGGTGGAGTTGCTGGCCCAGTTCCTGAGCCCCCAGGTATTGTGGGCATGCCTCGTCAAGAGTTGCAAGATTGGTGTACCAAGTTCAACCAGCGCTTCGAGTTCTGGTTGCAGATCAAGGGGTTCAGGACCCACCTGGATCAAGACGCGGCTTCTGAAGCTCCTTCTGCTTTGGGTGATGAGGAGCAGAATCGCGCCGAGCTTGAGCAGCTCAAGAAGCGTAGTATTGATGCAGCCTTATCCCCAGAAGAATTGGTCAAGTTTGAGAAGCTCATGCAGAAGCAGTCCCACATCAAGGCCGCCAAGCGTCTCCGTACTGTTCGCGATGGCGCCGCGGCCTCTTTCAACCGTGTTTTGGAGCAGATGCAGCCAGGTGCCGCTGGACCCGCACGTTCACAAGCTGGCGGTGGGCAAGCATCTGGTTCACAGCGTGCCTAGCCAACCTGGCGCGCTGGAGGCGTCGAGGCTTCGCAATCAGTCCTCGGCGAGTGAGTTGATGTTCTGCAATATCACATCATGGAATCAGGTGACATTGGATTTCTTGCAGCAGATCAAGCCCTTGTGCGACGGCTTCTTTGTTGCTGAGCATCATCTTCTGAAGGACCTCCCGCGCGCCAAACGCAATGCAGCTCAGATTGGCTGGAGGCCGCATCTGAGACCAGCCCTCCCCTCCCCTGGAGGGGGTACTCATGGAGGAGTAGGAGCCGTGGTTTCCAATGGTTTGTGTTTCCGACGTTTTTTGTCCTCGGATCCGAGCTTGTCAGATTTTGGCAGTGGCCTCAACTGGCAATTTTTGGAGCTCAAAACCAAAGAATGTGCCATTGCTGTAGGTGCGATTTATTTGATTGCTGACCTGGGTTTTTCTGGGGAAAACATCGAACGTATCCGTGCCGTTTCCGAGTTCCTTGGGACCCTCGCCATCCCCTGGCTCTTGATGAGAGATTTCAACGTACCAGTGAGCGACATGGACCTGTCTGGTTCCCCGAAGCTTGCTCGTGCACGCTGCCTAGTACCAGAAGATGTTGAGTTCACTTGTACCCAGGGACGCGGCACACTTATTGCTTATGTTATCGCTTCCAGCGGCTTGGCTGATTACGTTCATGTTAGTACGTATACTCATAGCCCCTTTAAAACTCATGTCTGCCTGAAAGTTTGCATGCAACATGAAGCTCTGGAACAGCATATGTGGCAACGTGGTAAGCCGATACCGTTCCCTAGTTGTCCTGGGCCTGATTTACCCTGGTCACAGCATCTCCTAACCGCCGCTGCTAGTCTCGGGCGTGAAAGAGTGCTGCCTGAAGTTCCTGGGTATCTTCACAATGCACCGGTGCCGCATGTTCAGGACAATTTAAGTGAGAAGCTTACGTCTTTGTATCGCACTTGGTCTAGAGCGACCGAAGCCATGTTTGAGTCTCGTGCGGTTGCAGTCGACCGCAGTGTGTGCCAGGTAAAACGAGGTGAATTTCCAATTTTTCGGCGTGCGACGATTGGTCGGAGGGGCCCTGCTGGCCAAAGTTTTCGTGAATCTGAACTGGCTTAGTGGGCCAAAGTATCTCAAAAGATGTACGAATACCGACTTCACCTGGCAAGAAAGTCTTTGCACATGGTCGCGAGCTTAGGTAGCGTCCTTCAAGGTTTAGCTTTGCAGCTGGACAAATACATCTGTGCCGACGATGCGTGCGGCATCGGCTGGTGGCGCGCCCAGTTTTGTTCGCTTCCCACTGAGGTCGAAGGACTCGACACCTTGACGGGTGCTATTTCTACTCGAGTGAGTGCTGCCTGGAAGGCTGCAAGGAGCTTGTCCAGAGCTCGGATGAAAGACTGGCTCCTGAAAGCCCTTCCCAAAGGTGCGAAAAAGGCGCATGCTTGGTTGAAACATGACCTTGGGGAACCGCCCCAAGTCCTGTTGGCCCCTCAAGGGGCCCGTCAGCTCCCTGGGGATCTCTTGGAGTATCGGCAGGCTTTCTGGAGCCAAGTTTGGGATTCCCCCGATGGGATGTCTATGCTCTCAGGAGTGCTGGATGCGCTCAGACCTCGCGCCCTCATGTCCCTTGAGGTGTTGGACCCCTTGGAACCCATTGATGTGTTGAGAGCTGCGAGGTGTTTTTCTAACACTGCTGCGGTTGGGGTCGACTCTTGCGGTTGACTTACCGCGGGATGCCGTTTTGGGGTGCACGCATCTCCTCAATCAGTGTGAAGCTTCGCTGTCCTGGCCATCCCAGGTTTTTCTTAGTGTTATTGCTTTGCTTCCTAAGAATATTGAGTGTGATCGTCCGATTTGTAAATGCCCCGCCCTTTACAGGGTTTACTGCAAGGCTCGTAACTCTGATCTCGATAGATGGACGCTAGACAGGTATAACTATTGGGACACCGCTGCGAGAGGATCCAGCGCGCTCCAGGCCGTCTTACTTCGCGAGCTCGGCCATGAGATGGCTCGCACGTTGGGGCTCTGCTCGGTCGGAGCCCACTGGGACCTCAAGCGTTTTTTCGACACTGTCCAGCCGCACAGGCTGATTGAGTTTGCTGTGAAGATGGATTACCCGCTCCACCTCCTCTACCTTGGTGTTATGATTCATGAATCCCCTCGTGTTCTGGAGGTTGGTGGTTTTGTTTCTGATATTATTCCCCCTGGGCGGGGTATCCTGGCGGGGTGCATGCAATCCATGTCATGGATTAAGATGTACTTGTATGATATCCTGGACTTGGCTCATGTGCAATATCGCCCCGTCCAGGTTAAATCCTATGTAGACGATATTGCCCAGTCTCAGGTTGGAAATATGAAGGATATGTTGGACTCTCTTGTGCCTGCCGCCATGTTGTTGACCCACCAGCTTGAGGAAGTTGGTTGCACCATTTCTGGCAATTCTGCTCTTGCGTGCAGCCATACCGACCTTGGACGTGAGCTTGCCGCCCGTTTCAGGGTGACAGGGTTGCATTTTCAATTACAGGCTGCAACTCGAGATCGGGGGGTCATGACCACGGCGGGGAAAAAAGAGATCTACTGTGAAGTTAACGCAACGACGTTGCCAGGCCTCCAAGAAGGCTAAAAAAGTTGCTTTTCTGGCCCGCATTGTTGGATCCGCGAGGCGATTGTACAAACCCGGGGCCATTGCTGTCGGCCCGTGGCCCCATCAGGTGTCGGGGCTTACTCCAGGGCAAATCCAGCCTATGAGAGCCCAAGCGGCCATGTGCAGTGGTAGATGGAACCCTGGGGCCTGCACTACCACAGTCTTGGGGCTTATCAGTCCTGCCAAGGATGACCCCCAGTTTAGGCTTCGC